TATTGAGACAAGCACAGGATGCCTTGATCTTCACAAGGACTAGTTTTATGAATCATAGCAAACCAATTGGAGAAGTATTTTCTTTTGGGTTAGTATGTTGTGTGAAGCCAACCATTGGAGCTTCTAAACTATGATTAAGGGTTTCTTATTAAATGTGAATGGTGGCATCAACGAACTATGATTGGATGTCATGAATAAAGCCAACCAATGTGTTTGGCTGGAAGATGGAAGGTCTGTGAATACATGCCCCCTCTTCCAAAAACACACATGTCCTTCCTGTGCAACAGGCTAATCCTTCTACAATCAGCAGGCAGGAGTAACAATGTGGTGCCCAGAAGGTCTGCATCTCCTTTGTTAACCCCCAATTCTGGCTAGATTCACTTGAGCTAGATCAGGTGAAGACCTAGCAGATGCCTTCACACAACATACCAAGCTTGGCTAATGTTAAGTTCAATTAGTCTTGTTATGGCTTAGCATGTTGTGTTATTCCAGCTTGTTTGGTTAGTTCATAGTTCGATGTATGGTATGAACCCTAAAAATGAAAACAACAGTACTCAGGTTCAGCATATGTGAATAGAGTCCATGTTTCTCCAGAAAGTCACTAAAGAGGGACCATGTTGCTAAACCCTGGCATAGGAGCCTTTAATGCTGCCTCCAAATGCACTAACCCTCAAATCAAGCGTATATTGGTACACACCCACCGTCAGCCTTAATAGCGCTAAAATGTGGATTGAAGCACCTTGACTTCTCCTGAAAGGCTGGAGAGACATGTATGATTTGCTCACTTCCATCCAAACAGAGGAAAAGGGTCTTAAAGGAAGAAAAAGTTCAGAGGTTCTGGATCAAGAGGCAACGATGTCATGGAATAGCATACAAAATTCTGAAGAGGCAACAAAGCAGCCACCACCACCCATCTTTCTGCCTTTGCTGGTTTAATGGGCAAGAAGTGGGCAAGGGGTCTTGCGGGGGGGGGAGGAGGGGAAGCAGGAGTTTAGAGAACCAAGCACCGCAGAGCAGCTAAAAAAAGAGGGAACCGAGGAAGGCCCTGTAGACATCCAGCAAAGAAGCCTTCTGAAGTGCCTAGACATGTGAAGAGTTTGCTGCTCATTCTGGACTTTCACTGTTCTAACCATCTGTAGGTTTTTCTCTGCTCCTGAGAAGGAAAAAAAGCCTCAGCAAACAAGCCGGCAGCAGCATGTTTTAAGTTCCAGATCAATGTCTAATTGAATGCCTATCAATTCTACTTTATGGCCAACCGTGAATGCCGCACCAAAAGAACGCTAAGAAAGAAAGACAACTAGAAACACAACAGCCCCAGTCATGACAGGCCAAAGAGGTCTGGCCCAGGACTGCTTCCCATCTCTTCTAAGCATCTGCCAGGTAGCCTTGGCTACAAGTGCAGAGGTGGGGAAGCCAGACTTCTAAGCTGGATTTCAGGTCTCAAGGGAGCCTCCAGATCTGTCATGGGCCTGGAACTGCATGGCCTGACCAAACCTCCATGTTCTGAGGCGGCAACTGGAAGACTCGGAGATGCAGAAACAGGACAGGGTGGCTTTATTTTATAGCTTTAGCCTTCCCTTCCCAAGTGCTGGAAACCAGATCTCCATTATTAAAATTTCTAGTTCCAGGGGCCATCGAATCCCAAGAGAACACTGCAAGAATTGAGGACCCAGTTTGTGGGGGCAATAAGCTGACTTTGTATAAAGTATACAAAAAGGATGAAGGCTATTGCTTAACGCATTGTAAGCCGCCCTGAGTCTCCGGAGAAGGGCGGCATATAAATCAAGTTAAAAAAAAAAAGAATTACCTCTTTTGCACTGCAAATCCTAAAGGTGTATCTGAGAGCTTCACCTGTAATTAATTTTCTGACTCTCCTAATCAATACCACCAACTCCTCAGAGCCTGCAGCTCTTTCTGAAGCGAAGGCACTTTTGATCAGTTCACCAACTGCTGTTCATCAGAAACCCCCTCCTATCAAGACAGGCCATGATTCCCGCCCCCCACCTTCTCTGAAATGTCTCAGGGTGGACCTTCTGACCCAAGAGGGCTTGAATGGGAGACGCTCTGGGCACTCTTCTGCTTGGCCAACAAATTCGAGGCCTCCATGTGCTGGGGAGGAGCCTTCTCAAACGAGGGACTCCCCCTGGCCTGCTGGAGACCGTCAACAGCTACAAGCAAAGGCAAGATCCCACGTGAGCTTGTGTGTGCGCACAAGCATGCACACACACACACACACACACACGACTGAGAGCTACCAGCCAGAAGTGAATAGAACCTTATTTCAACCCAGGCAGAAAATGCGGCATTTGAGATGATGGTCTTGACTTGTACCCTGAGATGAATGGCTATTGGGGGGGGGGGGGGGAAGAGCAGCACACAAAATCTCCACTGATAGGTTGCTGCATGTGCTGCACCCCCACCTCACATCTGCCTTCTGAAACAGCTGCTCAACCAGCCTCAAGGCAGGACTTGAGAGAAGGTGGTTTAGCTGGGGAAAACAGGACAGACAGGAGGAAAATTCAGGTGCGAAGCAGATGTGGGACCTCTTAGCATCGCCCTGGCCTTCTAATCCTGCTCCCCCTCCGGTGGGATCCTATACAGGATGGGGAGTGGCACCTACAATTGGATCTACCTGCCAGTAGACAATGATGCCCGTTCCTCTCTCTCTGCTCCGAAGCCACCCACCACCCGTGTCTTCCACTCTTGCTGGTGGGGCTGGATAATCAAAGCCATCCAGAACAAGGAAGCCCTAAAAAAGGTAGGAACGAGGCCGTGCAAACCAAGGGGGGGGGGCATCTCTAATGTGAGAATATATGTCAGATCCCATTCTGTTCTCAAGATGTCCCTTTTCTTCTCAAGCATCCTCGGAATTAAGCTATTGCAACACAATGACCCTTTCAGGTCCTTGAGGATTGCATGAAATCCAGCTGTGGAGCACCATAAACAAACTCAGTTTTGTACACACATCTCGTGAACACTTTGGCTGTATTAACATAGCTTGAGTAATACAATCTGGACTCCTCCGCAGAAAAGCACCCGAGGAAGAGCTCCTGACGGGAAAGCAACCCGATGTTTACTATCCAATTGCAACAGCATCCTGGCTTCCTTCATCCTGCAAGTAAACTGATCCTGGTAAAGGAGGAATCTATCAAGAAATGAAAATTTTCTGTAAACTAAATCCTGCATTTATGATGATCTCAGTGAATCAGCTTGCCTCCGAGAGTTGTGGGTGCTCCATCATTGGAGATTTCCAGAAGAGACTGGACAGCCGTTTGTCCGGAATGGTGTGGGGCAGTCTTTCTCAATCTTGGCCACTTGAAGATGTGTGGACTTCAATTCCCAGAATTGAAGCTATGCTGGCTGGGGAATTCCGGCAGTTGAAGTCCACACCTCTTAAACTTCCCAAGATTGAGAAGCATTGGCGTAGGGTCTTCTGCTTGAGCAGGGGGTTGGACTAGAAGACCTCCAAGGTCCCTTCCAGCCCCAGGGTTCTGTCTTTCTATGTTTCCTTCAAAGGAACTCAGCCAAATGGGTACAGCACAAACTCAGATGCTATCATCCTAACTCTGTTGACCTTTCTTTGACCTGTTGCATTCAATCCATCATGGGGGGGGGGGGTTCCCCCTGGGTAAATACGGTAAAGGAAAGAAGGTTCACATGCCCGAGAAGACGATGTCTGAATCCACCATGACATTCCTGGCACCAAGAATTCCCCTTGCGTGAAATTCCACCCCTTTCACCTTCTTTGCACAAGAGAAACCACAGGAAACCCCACCATTTTCCCCTTCAATGGCGTATTTTACCTCCCAGCCAAACAGCTTTCAGAACCGGCTAACAGAGTATAATTCAAATTATACACAAACAAATCAGAGCAGTGGCCAAAAAAGAAAAGAAAAGAAAAGAACCCCAGCCTCAAAAGAAGTAAACAAGGTTGCAAATCAGTCCAGCATGTTATTAAAACAAGAAGAGTTTTGTAATTTCATATTTCAAACACGAACATGATTTAAATTATGGCAGGATCCCAGATGGGCCCCTCAGGTTGCATCCTTTTCTGCATAGAGTGCTGAGCATCCACAGGGAAGGGGAGTGGGTGACACAACCAATTCACTAGCCCCAAAGCCTTGCCTACAAGTGCAAAAGATCCCCCCCTCTCTCTCCACTCTGCCTGGACCCCCTCTCTCTCAAACTAGAGCAAGCCATCCATTTCTCCTTGAAGAAGCCTGCCAGGATGAGGAGCAACTCCTTGGGGCAGACTGCCTCTTCCTCCCCCACCTTCTGCCCCCAAATGACTGACAGAAAGACAGAGGAAGCAGTGGGGAGGGGGGAGGACCTCAATGAGCCTCACGTTAAGGCGGCTTCTTCCGCTTCCCCTTCAGCCTCACCAGCCACCCCCACATCCTGGATGCTGACAGGGGGGCCGTCCACTGCTGCTCAGAGGCTAGGCAGCCGGGGAGGGAGAGAGGGGAAGGGGCTGCCTTTCTGAGCTTCCTCCCAGCTCTCCAGCACCCATCGGGGTGAAAGTGCTCCCTTCCCGAGTGGAAGAAGGAGCACCTCGGCCGGAAGCGGGAGGCCCTCTGCACTCGGCCTGCCAGAGGCCAAATAAAGAGATGCTAAGCCCTTCAACCGCCAGGAAGATGAAGCATGAGAGCTGCTTGCAGGCGATGTGGGCTGCAGAGAGGGGAACTTGCTTGGAGTCTCTCGTGGGCAGCATTCAGGCTTACAAAATGCCCCCACCCGGAGAGCCTCTTCTTCTTGTGACAGGATCCCATTGGACAAGCAGCCCAGTTGGCCAGGAGAAGCCCCAGGTGGTGGAGACCCACTCAGCCAGCCACAACCAGACCTCAGCATGTGGCAGGATGCAGGCCTCGCTCCTGAAAGCCACCCTTTGCTTTCAAAACGAGGCAGCCTTTATGGCTGGGCCACATCCAGAGGACAGGTTCCGAGCCCTCCATGGGATTTGCACACAAGACAAAAATACGTATCTCGAGCCTGTAACTCACCCTGACACTGGAAGCCTTGCTTTCCAAATCCCCTGTGAAGGAAAAAGAGAGAACACCGTGTTAGAATTCGTTCACGTGCCAACACGCTCCTCTTTCATGTGGTTTTCAGGTGAGCTTTTAACAAGGCTCAGCACAAGTAAAACAAAACAAAAAAAATCCAAAACCCACATTTCATTGAACCAGGAGGAAGAGGTCACAAAGGTGGCCTTGAGTCCCTCCGCAAAAGGGACCAAACGCAGCTGTTGTGCTGGACAATGGCAGCCTTCCCCAACTTGGAGCCCCACAGCTGTGTTGGACTCCAACTGTCTAAGTTCCATCCGGCACAGCTGCCGACCCAACTGGCTGAGACACACAGCAGTATTTGGGAAGGCCGGAAATGGACCCAAGTTGGGCAGCCACCAAAGAGAAGAGGAACAGGGAGGCATCCTTTGGTTCCTCCCGAGCAGGAGCTGAAAAGGGACAGAAATAAAGAACTCCCGGGGGGGGGGGCTGAGAAGTCAAGATTGTAGACCCCTCCCACGATCCTTGTATAGAAGAGGGAACTTAGTGGACTTCAGCATGGTCCAGCATAGAGTATCTTTTAAATCAACCCTTGGCTGTGAGAATCACTGGTCCTGCACTGGTCAAGAGTTCCTGTGACAAGTATGCGTATTTAGCACATGCTGGGGAGACCCCAGCTAAAGGAGTCATGTTCACCTTATCTTTCTTCCCCAAAATTGCAGGTGATGGTAAGCTAAGAAGATTTGGCACAGGCTTAAAGAACAGATATTCTTACATGTCTCCCTCTTGCCTCTGGTGACACAAAAACCTGGCTTCCTTCCCCCTCCTCCCACCCGCCATGAGTTTTCTCCATCATGCTAAGATCCCTGTCCTCTTGGGGGGCTGATGTTCAGGCCCAGCACAGAGGACTGTTTCCCCCTCCTGGAAGCAGCCAGCTTGGCCCAAGAGGCTGCAGGGAAGTTTCAAATGGAGCTAGGTCTCCGGTTGTGGGAATCCAACCGTTGGGTGAAGGTGGGCATCACGCTTGGCCACCATACCTCCGTTTGGCCCCTCCCTGTAGCTTATGGGAATGCAGCCCTTCAGACTTATTTGCCTTGCACTGCGATTCCGAGGACAAGCCCCCTCCCCGTACCTGGGGAAAAGTTGCAGGGGCACGGAACTGTCAATGGGACAGGGCCGCCCTGGAGCAGCTTCCCATCCCGATCAGCCAGCCCTTCTTTCAGCCCGGCCATCAGGCCCGAGTTGGCCGCGGACAATGGAACATGTAGCCCATCCTGCCCAGGTTGGGGAAAGGCCGGCGGGGCTAAGGCAGCCAAGTGGGAAGGCGGCTCAGATCTCGGGGAGGGGGGAGGGGGAGGGGGCGACGGGGGGAGGACCGATCAGCCGGCCTGAGAAGCGGGGAGCGAAAGTTGCCCGCTTGGCCACGAGGGCGGAGGGGAGGCGGCGGGCGGGGGCCGAGGGCCGAGCAGGACTGGGGGGGCGATGAGCCAAAGGGCGACGCCGGCGCTGAAGCCGTCCGAGCGGCGGTCCCCCCCCCCATCCCGCCCCCGGCGGGCTCCTCACCAGATGAAGTCGGTGCAGTGGCTGCAGAAGGTGGGCTGCTTGAAGAAGCGGGCGGTGAACTTGTGGTTCTTGACCTCGTGCACGTTCTTCTGGCGAAGGGCGCCTTTGCGGGCGAAGCGGACGAAGCTCTCCTCGCCCTCCGGCCCCGGGGCAGCCGGGGGCTCCGTGGCCGTGGCCGTCGCCGCCGCCTCCGGTTCGGCCATGCTGCCGCTCCTGCCGCCGCCGCCGCCGCCGCCGCTGCACGGATGCCGCCGAGCTGCCTGGCGCGACCGCCGCTCCGCCCGCTGGTGCTGAAGCTGCGGCGGCGACACCTCTGGCCGCCACTGGGCAGAGGCAGCGCCGAGCCTCTGGCGCCCGCCCCCCCCCGCCCCGTCCCGCCCCCCGCCCGCCCCGCGGCTCCCCCCCCCGCCCCCGCCCGCGTCTTCCGGCGCCCTCGCGCGGCCCCGAGCCCCCAGGGCCACTGAAGGCGCGCGCCCCCCGCGACCGCCCCCCCCCCTTCAGCATCCCGAGAGGAAGGCTGGGCCAACGGAGACGAAAGGCTGCGAAAAGGCGCCTTGGCGAGAGACCCCGGAGAAATCGGCAGAAGGCCGGGAGGAAACGTCGGGGTTCCGATGGCCCCTGCAGGAGTGGTGCCCGTAATGCTTTCCATTCAGAGCCCCTTCCCATCGGTCCCTTTGGGGTGCCCGGTCTGTGTGGCACAAGAAGCACCCTAAACTGCATTCTGGCTGGGTTTGCATTTCATCCTGCATGGAGAGGATCGGAACTCAGGACCCAGAGTCCAGGTATTATGTGAATGCAGCCAGGAGTCTGGAATAAGGCCCGGTCAGAGCCCCACTGTGGAACCCAAGGATATGATGGATGTGGCCAAAAAGGCATCATGACCACCTGGTTTTGATGCGCATCACACGTAACTTGGTTGCTTCATCCTGTGGAGCCTGAGGAACCAGGGGCCACAGGGCCTGTCTCTTGCAGGTGGGTCCCCAGAAGCCTCTGCCAGCCACCCACTAAAGGGAAGCCAGAATAGTTGCTCAAAGGGCCGCTGATGCTCTTCCGAGGTTCACGACGGCCAGATCAGCCCTGGAAGTGTTTCTCAAGCAGGGCTGGACTCTCCAGCCCATAAATCACAGCCAGGGCCTCTGAAGTCTGGCATTTCAGCAACAGCTTTTTTGCTTTGCTTTTTTCCCCCCTTGCTAAGGGGGGGTGGGAGGGTGCACCAAAGGCCTCCCAAAGGGGGCTGTGGCCACCAGTCAGCACACAACCTCCCCCTCAGCCCCAGAGGCTGAGTTGCTGCCCCAATCCTGCTGTCAGAGTTGGGCCCTGAGCTCAGCCGTTAATCTCCCTCTAGGACTCAGGAACAGAAAAGAAGCTTCCCAGATGAAGGCCAGGCACCTAAGTCACTTTAGCGCCTATGCCACATCTGAGGTCTCCCCTATCCTGCCTTCTTGGCTCTGCCCATAGATGGAGGGCCGTGGCCTCCTCCCCACCAGCCCTCGATGGCTGAGCACAGGTGGAGTTTTCTCTTCCCTCCAGACTGAGATTATGTTGCCAGCCCAGGTGCAGGACCAGCATCTCAGCAATAGGGATGCTACCAGTGGTGGATTGCCCCTGGTTCGCACCGGTTCTGTAGAACCGGTAGTAAAACCAGCAGGAGGCTCCACCCACCAACCCCAACATCATCAAAATGCTTCTGCACATGCACAGAAGAGCTGGTGCGCAGCCCCGTTGTGAACCGGTAGTAAAGGTAAGTAGAACCCACCCCTGGATGCTTCACAACATAAACCAAACCAAATTCATTGTTCTATAAGTGTCTCTCTCCCCTTTTCTCTCTGTCTCCCTCTCCTCTCTCCCTCTCCCTCTTCCTGTCTCTCTTCTCTCTTGTCTGTCTCTCTCTCCTCTCTCCCTCCCTCCCTCTCCCCCCCCCACCTTTCTCTCTTCTCTCCTTAGCTTCCAAATAACACATTGTTGAAAAATATATTTCTATAGTGCAGCAGCACAAAATACTTTCCAAATATAAGTTTGGGTATTTTTTATTGTTTAAGAGTGAGGGCCATGGCAGAAAAGCTCCACCAGTCAGGAGCACCTGAGATCTGTCTGAGACCCCTTGTGGGAGGGGGGGAAGTAGGCTGAGAAACTTTGGCTTTCCTCCAAAATGGAGTGCCAGCTTCCTTCCTCCCCCTTCTCTGGTGGCCTTGCAAATGGCTCCCCTTCTGTCTCTTCACCTGTTAAACGGCCACCAGTGCAGCTTCCTTACCAATATAGATCTTGATAAACTTTGTAGATTAAAAATAAATTGAGTGGAAATTAATATAAATGATAATTGGTGGTAGTCATCAGTGCTTCCACAACAGGCTTGCCAGTTCAATTTGTCTAAAGGAGGCGGCATCTGGTCTGGCGCATGATAATGAGGGAATCATTTCACCAGCAAATCTCCTCTGTTACGACGGGATGATGCGTGAATGAACCATCCATGTGGGCAATGAATCTCTCCTGGCTTTTCCAACGGTCGGCAACATACACGCATCTGGACAAACATCTGGACTTCACAGAAGGCAGCGTTGTTGCTGAGGCTTTGCTGTAGTGTAAACCGAGCCTCTGTCTTCAGAGACAAGAGGACTGGATTTTTAGGGGGTGCATGAAGGGAAGTCCGTGAGGTTCCCAGAGATTTATGGATTTTCTTGGTAACACTGGAAGAAAACACTACAGGCGCAACTAGTGCAGCTCTTCTTAATGGCAACAACACACTGCAAAAGGTGAAGGGGCTCCTCTTTTGCTCCTCTTTGCTAACCAATCTGGGACTGGAGAGGGGGGCCAATGGGGAGAGAGAGAGAGGTCCTTTGAAAAAACCCAAATTCTGCAAAAACCAAGTGAGGGCTTCCTGAGATCGTTCAGGGCTGATGTTTTACAAGCCAGTGATTCTATCCTTGCTCCCAGCTATTTTGTCCCAGATTTTAACAGGTTTTAATAGACTTTTGATCAAGAACACCTTGATACCTGGTCAAGGTGTTCAAAGAGACAAGGTGTCCAGCCTCGTCTCTTTGAACAGGTGACCCATCTGGACTATTTTGGGGGGCCTCCCTGTAGACAGTCTTGAAGGCAGCCAAGGTGAATGAGGGGTATGTAGCAGAGGTGAAATCCTACTGGTTCGGACCGGTTCGGGTGAACCACTAGGGATTATGGGCATCAGTTCACTGAACCGGTAGTAATTACCCCTCCTTGGCCCCACCTACGCCCGGCCGGTCACCGCTCACCTCTTCCAGCCGCTCAATATTCCACAGAATTCAATGTTAAATGCAGCAGAGAGAATGCTAACTTTTCTCCCTCCATTCACAAGGGAGCTGCTGCAGCCTGTCCCTTTAAGGTAGTCCCCAGGAGTGGGGGGAGGGAGAGCAGCTGGAATGGAGCCGTTTTTTGTGAAAGGCAGGAAAATGAGGAAGGGGATTTTCCTGTCTGTCCTCCATTCCTGAAGCTCACCAGACTGAGGGAAGGATGGTAGGCAGGAATATTCCCCTCCCCATTTTCCTGCCATTCGCAACAAAGAGTGGCTGGGAGGGGAGTGATGAGTGATGAGTGATGTTGAGTTGGCCACGCCCATCCAGTCACATGACCTTCCCCCAAGAAGCCACACCCACAGAACCAGTAGGGGAAATTTTTTAATTTCACCCCTGATGGGTAGGAAGAGTTGACTGGCACTCTTTGATCGGGATTCCAAAATGGTGCAACATCAGGTGGGGGGGGGGTGATCGGTGCTCAGAGAAGCAAAGACACCTGGGAAAGTCTCTGCTGCCATCCCACCTGTCCATCCAGAGTTTTGCAGCTCAGATCTAACCATCCTCCTTCTTTGCCTGAAGTTTTAAAAATTCCAGTTAAAACTTTCCTAATCAGGTAGGTGATTTCCCTCTGGAAATCAAGAGGGTTTTTTTTTTATCAAGATAATCAAACCACTCTGCCAGAAGAGAAAAGGCTGGGAATTGCAGTCATCCTACAGCATTATCCCAGAAAAGCATTCTCATAGACGCAAGAATTTGACAGCTCAACTTTCTGAGTGGGTGTAAGGTACACTTTGAGCCTGCAAGATATTCTCTTTTCCCCCCATTGATCCACGAAACAAAGCAGAGCCAGCAGGAGGAGAAACGGACCCAGAATGCTCCTTAAAGGAGCCAATGCTGCTGCTTTGGTGGGAAAAGTGCTCTCATTCTAGTAAATGTAAACATTTTAAATGAGTTTTAAATCCACCCTTCTAGCAAATTCACCCTGCCAGCTGAGAACAAAAGCATTTGGAGCAGGAAATTCTGGATTTCCAGTAAGAAGAGCAGAGACCCCTTTGAATGTTTAATTCTCAGGCTGCGAGCCATGCCGTTGTGTGCAGGTCCACCCTCTGTTGCCTATGGCTTGTTTTCCTGTCTTCACAGCCTTTTTCCCCTGTCCTGCCCCCACCTGTTTTGTCAGAGAAGTTGTGAAGCGATTGCAGTTTAGGAAGTCCCATATTAAATGCACTTCCACCTTGACTTTCTGGAGAGAGGAGTTTCAAAGTCTGTTTGCACAGAAGGGCCGAGGGAGAAGCCATCCATCAGCCTAGGACAAGGTGTCAGCGAGATCAGCAGGAGCTGAAGACACTCTGAAGCCCTGGCCACTCTTTGCAGCCTGCACGGTCAAAAGAGACTCAGGTGAAAGCTCTGCTGTTTGCAGGGGGTCTTCCTGGTGCAACCTCGCTGCCAATAGGGTTTGGGGTGGGTGATGGAGACCCCTTGATGCAGCCTGGAGCCTCCTGGATTCATGGCCACTGTGGGAGCCCAACTTCTCAGGGGGACAACCTGAGAGACAATTTGGAAACTGTGGTTGCTACAGAATGCAGCAGCCTGATGCAAACATCTGGAAGGAGGACTCGGTGTTGGGGGTGATGTTTGTTGTCCATAAGATTGCAGGTCCAATTGGAGGTGCTGGTTTTCACCTAGAAGGCCTTACAAGGCTTGGCCAATGTGTCCTTGCAAGGGTCTCTACTGGACAGGATTGGCCTGTTCCAGGGTCAGTTTCTCAGTAGCAGCCCTCATGCTACAGAGCTCCTTGCTGCTGCCACCCCAGGGAAGGGAAGCCCCCACCTCACTTGATGTTACTTGATTTTATGCTGTGATTTTGTACTATTACCATATTTTTCGGAGTATAAGACGCACTTCCCCCCCACCAAAAAGAGGGTGGAAATGTTGGTGCGTCTTATATACCGAATACAGCCATTTTTGGCCTCCCGGTGCTCTGCCCCGCTAATCCCATTTTTGCAAAAAAAAAATGGGCCCTTTTTCGCAAAAGGAGGATGCGCAGAGGGTTTG